ATCCAACTCTTGCTCACGTACCAAATCAGCTGTTGACCATTGCTCACAGAGGGTGAGAACACAAGCAGGGGCAAAATTGTCCTTCTCCATCACGTCGGCCTCCCTGTCGTCAGTCAACAACTTATCTGTCACCAGGGCAGGTGTACCTTGCAGCTCACGCTGGAGTGCTCCAAGATCTGGCTCTGCCACTTTGTCGTCGGATGTAGTAATCCGGGACAAGGCATCAGCTACGACGTTGTGCTTACCCTTCTTGTAAAATACCTTAAACTTAAACTGGGACATACTAATGAGCCAGCGTTGCACTTTCGCCGTCGTAGCCGTCTGTATCCATTCCAGAGGCTTGTGATCCGAAAAGACGACCAACTCCAAATGGTAACCCCAGAGCAACGGTCTGAACCGTTCCAATGCCTTGAAGATAGCATAGGCTTCCCGCTCATACACCGGCCAGACTTTCTGGGTAGGGGTCAGGGACTGGCTGAAGAAGGCTAAAGGCCTTCCGTCCTGCTCCACCACAGCCCCTATCGCTACATCGCTGGCGTCGGTCATGAGCTGAAACGGTCTCGAGAAATCTGGGTAGGCCAACAAGGGGAGACTGGCTATCCACTGCTTCAGGTCATTGAAGGCCAGCTCTTCCTCCTTGCCCCACTGATTTCCGAGTTCCACAACCTTGTTCTTCGTACAGTAGTTCACAATTTCATAAAGACACCGAGACTTATCCGCAAAGTGCGGGACGAAATTCCTATAGTACCCTGCCAGCCCTAAGAAGGATCGAAGGGCCGGGGCAGTCCGAGGTAGAGGCCACCGTAAGATAACCTCGGCCTTACCCAAGTCGGGACTCATACCAGTACTATTAAACATGTGACCCAAATAGGTCACTCGATCCTGCATAAACTCGCACTTCTCAGCAGCCACCGTCATACCAGCCGCCCGTAGAAGCTCAAAGACGATCCTCAAGTGCTCCAGATGCTCTTCATCGGATCTACTAAAGATCAGGACGTCATCAAGGTAGACCCTCACAAAAGGGAGATGTCCCAGAATAGCATCCATCAATCGCTGGAAGGTAGCCGGGGCACT